GGGGTGGGAAAGGGTAGATATGGATATGATGACCACGCGATAACACCACTTGTATAAATGGTTACTGGGTGTTGCGTGGGGTGATCCATATTATTTATAAACTTAGGACCCCTTTCCCTTTACTTGTTTATTTTCAGAACTTCAAAACTGCTTTCTTCCCAAAACTTCCGCTTCTTTAACTTAATTTTAATTGCTCGCAGAAATTATGTGCAAACCCCTTCCCCTTTACTTGTTTATTTTCAGAATTTCAAAACTATTCTCTTCCCAAACTTCAACCTCTTTAACTTCTTTTATTTTAATTGCTTGCAACCATTATGTGAAAACTACCGTGTATTTGTGATTCTTGCTTGTTTACTTGTCATCTGAATTTAAAGTCACAATTATAGCATGGCCGAGAACCACACTAGTGGATCTTGAGGGGTGACTAACACCTTCCCCTCGAGATAATTTCAAGCCCTTACCCAATCTCTGATTTTCTAAATCAAATTTCTTCTTAGTGTCCTAATGCACTTAATCATTAGGTGGCGACTCTGCAATATTACAAACCCAATTCCCAAAAGGAAATGAGTTGTCCGCCCAAATGTCATAAAGCCGATTTCGCAAGAAAAAGGGGCATCGACAGGGTAAAAAGAAAAACTCCCTGTCAGTCGGAGTCCACCTCCGCAGCATGCCCTCCACCAGCAGCTCTGGGCTCATCATCATCCGGTTCTAGAGGCACCAAAGCCATGGGCCCCGTAGCACCATTCCCATCCTCATCCTCAGTGTCCGAGCCCTTGACAGAGTTGACATCCTCCGACGAGTGAACGGGGCTGGCAGGTGCAATCCCCAACATCTCATTCGATGTGCTGGACAAATCATTGCGTAAATGCATACGCTCCTCATCTGTAATACCTGCCCTGCTCATGAGTAAGTTCATCGAGTTATAAAAGTACCTATTGAAGTTCTCATCTCGCTCCATCTGGGCTGCGGGAGTGAGTTTTGACGATGTCTTCAACAGAGATGTGATGTCCATAAGCCCTGACGGAGCCTCCACCACCTCATCATGTCCGGGGTACTCCGGCACTCCTCGAACTAACATATACTAAGTGAGTAAATTTCCGAAGAAGAAGCACCTAATCTGTCGCCCAAATCTCCTGTGGGCCATCTCACTGAGCATAATCGCACCCACATTAATGGGTTGGCTGGTCATCAAGAAGAAAATGACACACACTCTAGCGCGAGTGCAGTCCCTGCTGTGCTCCGCCGGCATAAGTCTCGCTTGCACAAAATTCTTCCACACTTTTGCAGCTTTGTTGAAGTCGGAGCGGACCGTAGAAAGGTGAATGTTGCCTTGCTTCCTTATCCACTTAGCATTGGAATCCACGCCACAAAGAGTGTGACGTATCAACTCATATTTCGGGCTTCTGATAAATCGTTGGAGTCTCCTTGGGTTAGCATTATCAACCCCCAAATATTTGCATAAAGACTCTCTATCCATCGGCACATCCTTCCCTCTTACACGTGAAGTGTCCAATTGGTAATCCCAACTAGCATACAGCTCTCGAACTATGCTTAGGTTTGCAGGCCCCAGGTATTCCAAGAACTTGTGCATATTTAGAGCTTGCACCCTGCCAAGTACCTTCGGGAAGTTTCTTTCTAAGGTCGTGGTATTAATCCCCATCTCAGAAATGTACCGACCAAATGACACAAAGTCCCTGTGCCATGCAATAGCTGCAGCATCGACCAAATCCAAACGAGGCCGAGGCCTTAATGGCGCCTGCTGAGATCCCTCGGCGACCTGTTTTCCTTTGGAATGCCGTGAAGAGCTTTCTCCCTACTTGCGCTTTTTGGGCACAGGAGAAGTGGTGGAGGACTTTCCAATGCCTTTGCCTTTTGTAGAACCATCACGAGCCATAATATCCTGATCACCCCCCAGCTCGGCGCCTCGTGCCCTGCCTCGCGCTGGGGTTTTCGTTGATTCTGTTTCCAGCGCCCCAGGCAGCGCTGGGCGCTGTTTCGCGATTTTTGTTTTTTAAAGAAATTCCTATACCCCGAGAATTTTATATACCAATTTACATGTCCTACACCATTATATCTAATATTTCTATACCTACAAAGAAAATGAAAAACTCTATCTACTATAACTAAAAGAAAAATTAAGAAGTTAAACTAGGAAAGCAATAAAAATTGGGTTGCCTCCCAACAAGCGCCTGATTTAACGTCGCGCCACGATGCAGAGTCTCGCTTACTCATCAGCGAGTACAACCTTGGTCTTCTCACGATTAATCATTCCTCCCCAATAGTTCTTGACTCTATGACCATTCACCAAAAATTTTCCTTTCACCATTTAAAGCTCACAGCTCGATTGCACCGTAAGGAGTGACTCTCACCACCTCAAACGGGCCTAACCATCTCGATTTTAGCTTTGCAGGAAACAGTTTTAGACTAGAATTGAATAATAATACCTGTTGGCCTGGCTCGAAGTGACGCGGCTTGATATGTTTGTCATGCCATCTTTTTGTCTTTTCTTTATAAAGCTTAGCATTTTCATAAGAGTGCAACCTGAACTCATCTAACTCATTAAACTGCACCCGCGGCTTCAAGGTCCATATTCAGCTTCTTAATGGCCCAATATGCCTTGTGTTCCAGTTCAACGGGCAAGTGACATGCCTTCCCATAAACAAGCTTGTACGGGGATGCCCCAATTGGCATTTTATATGTAGTTCTATACGCCCATAAGGCATCATCTAACTTTGCAACCCAATCCTTCCTATTCACACTCACCGTTTTCTCTAATATTTGCTGTATTTCTCTATTTGACACCTCAGCTTGCCCACTTGTTTGAGGATGATATGTTATAACAAATCTGTGGCGATCTCCATATTTAGCTAGAAGGTTATTCAACAACGGATTGCAGAAATGAGTCCCCTCATCACTAATTAAGGCACGTGGAGTCCCAAATCTCGAAAATATATTCTTTTTGACAAAAGCAGCTACAAGCAATTGCCTCCACCCATTTTGACACATAGTCAACTGCTAGCAAAATGTATTTGTTTCCTCTGGACGGTGGAAATGGTACCATAAAATCTATCCCCCACACATCAAAAAGCTCAACTTCTAGGATGTTATTCAAAGGCATCTCACGCCTCTTTGTGATTGTTCCTGTTCTCTGACATTGGTCACACTTCTTAACGAATTCATGGGCATCCTTGAACAAAGTTGGCCAAAAGAGACCGGATTTTAGTACCTTTGCAGCTGTTCTATCTCCTCCATGATGGCCCCCATAAGGTGATGTGTGACAATCATACAACACTAATTCCACCTCCTTTTCAAGAATGCATCTCCTCATCAACCGATCATCACATTGCTTGTACAAATAGGGCTCATCCTAGTAGTAAAAGTTCACATAATATAGAAAGCTCTTTCTAGCTTCAGATTGGATTTACGGAGGAAGTACCCCACTCACAAGATAATTCACATAGTCTGCGTACCATGGAGGAGGGTCTTGGGTTATAGCAAAAAGTTGTTCATTAGGAAACACTTCTTTAATTTGGCCACCCTCCTCCACGTGGTCGTGATTTTCCAGCCTTGATAGATGGTCGACTACTTGGTTCTCTGTCCCCCTTCGATCTCGTATTTCTACATCAAATTCATGCAGCAACAAAACCCAACGCATCAATCTAGCCTTAGATTCTTTTTTTGTAAATAGATACCTGATTGTTGCATGATCGGTATGGACTAAGACCTTCGTTCCCACCAAGTATGCCCGAAATTTTTCAAAGGCCCACACAAAGGCTAACAACTCCTTCTCAGTGGTGGTGTAACTCAGCTGTGCATCATCAAGAGTCTTACTCGCATAATAGATGGATAAAACACCTTGTCCTTCCTCTGGCCTAGCACCGCCCCGATAGCGTGGTCACTTGCATCGCACATAAGTTCAAATGGTAAGGACCAATCGGGTGCCACAATAATGGGAGCAGACACCAACGTTTTTTTGAGTTCATCAAAAGCCTTGAGGCAGGCGTCATCAAAGTTGAAAGTTACATCTTTTTCAAGAAACCTCCACAAAGGAGTAGCAATTTTAGAAAAATCTTTAATAAAGCATCGATAGAAATCCGCGTGTCCCAAGAAACTCCGGACACCCTTCACTGAAATAGGTGGAGGTAATTTTTCAACCGCCTCCACCTTCGCCTTATCAACTTCAATGCCACTCCTAGATACTCTGTGACCCAACACGATGCCTTCTTGTACCATAAAATGGCATTTTTTCCAATTCAGTACTAGATTTGTTTCTTCACAACGGGCCAACACCTTGCTTAAATTCCTCAAGCAATCATCATAAGAAGACCCAAAAGCTGAAAAATCATCCATAAATACTTCCACGAATTTTTCCACCATGTTAGTGAAAATAGCCATTATGCACCTCTGGAAAGTGGCTGGTGCATTACAAAGACCAAACGACATTCGCTTGAAGGCAAAAGTACCATAAGGACAAGTAAAAGTGGTCTTCTCCTGATCCTCTAGGCATATGACAATCTGATTGTATCCCGAATAACCATCAAGGAAGTAATAATATTCATGCCCGACTAATCTGTCTAGCATTTGGTCAATAAATGGAAGTGGGAAGTGGTCCTTGCGGGTTGCTTTGTTGAGCCGTCTATAATCAATGCAGACTCTCCACCCCGTCACGGTGCGAGTAGGAATTAGCTCATTCTTCTCATTCTCAATCACAGTCATTCCTCCCTTTTTGGACACACATTGAACTAGACTTACCCAGTTGCTGTCAGAAATAGGAAAAATGATACCAGCATCGAGCAACTTGATTACTTCCTTTTTCACCACCTTTTTCATAATGGTATTTAATCTTCTTTGCTGTTCCACATTGGGGCGGTGTCTGTCCTCTAATAAGATTTTATGCATGAAAAACAATGGACTAATTCCCTTGATGTCAGCAATAGTCCACCCAATGGCCTTTTTATGCTCGCGGAGTACTCTAAGCAATTTTTCTTCTTGACTGTTGGTCAAGCTGGACGAAACACGGGCAATGTCTCAGAGTTCCCCAAATAAGCATAGCCCAGATGCGCTGGAAGCGGCTTAAGTTCTAGCTTCGGAGCTTCTTCAATAGATGGCTTAGGAGGGGTCAGAGTGACAGGCCTGTCCAATTCATCAAATTTTCCAAACCCATGGACGTAACTGCAGGACATATCCAGTACTTGCTCAATTTCTCCCATCATTTCATCTTCACTATCTTCTTCATCCCCAATCAACACTCGTTCAACAGGATCTACAGGGCTCATATAGGGCACTAATGATGTGGCATCACTCTCCACCACAGAGATCATGAATAACTCTTCATAGTAGGCGGGCAACCTGAGTGCTTTATAAATATTGAATACCTCCACTCGATCACCTACTCTCATCGTCATCTTTCCTTCGCAAACATCAATAATAGCTCGGCCCGTGGCTAAGAATGGACGCCCCAAAATAAATGGGACTTCTTGATCGGGCTCGTAGTTCAGGATAATGAAATCAGCAGGGAATATGAAAGACCCCACTTGAGCTAGCACATCTTCAATCACTCCTTCAGGATGAGCAAGGGAGTGATCAGCCAGCTGTAAGATTACCGTTGTTGGGCGTGGATCACCCAATCCCAATTGTTTGAACACAGATAGCGGCATCAAATTGATGCTCGCTCCAAGATCGCATAAAGCTTGCCCAACTGCATGTTTACCAATCGAGATTTGGATAGTGAAACTACCTGGATCCTTCAATTTCTGAGGTAACTTGCCCTGAATTCTTGAACTGCACTCCTCAGTGAGTGCCACAGTTTCGAACTCGGTCAGCTTCTTTTTATTTGCCACTATGTCCTTGATGTACTTTGCATATTTGGGTACTTCTTGTAAGATGTCAACCAATGGAATATTAATTTGTACCCGCTTCAAAATATCAAGAAACTTTTTATATGCGGCGTTATCCCTTAATTTCTGAAATCTTTGAGGAAACGGAGGTGGTGGCCTTGCAACCAATGGTGTGGGTGCTCAGCCACCGCCTCTCCAGCTGGCTTTTCTGACTCCTTAGATTTTTCTGATGTTGATTCTATAGTGGTCGGCCTCTCATTAACAGTCACATGTTTCCTTTTTTTAGATTGAACTTCTTCTAATTGTCTCCCATTCCTCAACGACACGTCATTAAGGGATGCCTTAGGATTAGCTTCAGTGTCACTTGGGAGAGCTCCAGCTGGTCTAGTGTTTTGAGCACTGACAAGCTGTCCCATTTGGCGCTCCAAATTCCTCATTGTTGCGGCTTTGGCTTGCTGCTCAGCCATAAATTTCTTTGAGAGGGCTTGCTGTTCAGCCATCACTTTCTGAGAGAGGGCTTGCTGTTCAGCCATCACTTTTTTCAACATTTCTTCAAGGTGACTTGTTGGACTCGCTTGTTGTTCAACCTGTGGTGGTCTATATTGCTGTTGAGGTGCTTGAGGCCTGTATTGATTCTGAGTACCTTGGTTTCCACCCCAAGAGAAGTTTGGGTGGTTCCTCCAGCTGGGATTGTAAGTTTTTCCATATTGGTTTGTTTGGCCCCTATTTGAATTACCCACAAAGCAGACAAACTCTGGGTTAGAGGGGCATATGTCGCTCGTGTGACCCTCTCCACATATTTCACAAAACACTTGAACCTGTTGTACCGGTTGTGCTTGTTGCTTGTTGATAATCAAGTTCATCTAATTGACTTGGTTGGTCAGTGTAGAAATCTGCGCTGATAATGCTGAGACGACATCTAACTCAAGAACCCCTGCGGACTTTTGCACAATGTGTCTGCCCATCTCTCCTTGCCAATCCGGATTGCTTTTGGAGAATATGTTCAATAATGCATATATCTTGTCAAAGCTTTTCTCCAACACTTGACCTCCAGCTGCAGCATCTACCACAATCTTCGTTTCAGGATGTAGACCTTCTATGAAAGTGTGAGCTAATACTTCTCTTGTCTGATTGTGATGAGGACGGTCTCTGATTAGCCCCTTGAACCTCTCCCAAGCCGAGTATAAAGACTCTCCGGCTTTCTGTTTGAAGGCAACTATCTCACTTCTGATCTTTGCAGTTTTGCCTGAAGGGAAGAACCTTGCCGGAAATTTCCTTGCCAAATCATTCCATGAGGTAATAGAATTAGCTGGTTCTGCCTTCAGCCATCGCTTTGCTTCGCCCAACAGTGAGAATGGAAAAAGTGCGAGCCTCACATAGTCTGGAGTGACTCCGTTAGTGATATAAGTGTCACTAATCTCCAAGAAGTTCAGGATATGCTGTTGTGGATCCTCGTGTGGAAGACCCATAAACTACCCATTCGCATGAAGTAGCTGGATCATGCTTTGTTTCAGCTCAAAATGCCTAGTGATCCTGGGCTTCACAATACTGGAGGTGACATTAGCAATGCTGGGCATCGCCACCTCCTGAACAGCCATGTGTTGCTCCTCTGCCATGTCCACAGGAAATTGAACAAGTGCCTGAATATTATTCGTGTCCCTTGCTTCCCTCAACCTCCTGTAAAATGTTCTCTCAGGTTCAGGGTCAAAGCCTTGAAGTCGGTCCTGGCTTCTGACCCTACGCATTCAATCAAAGTTCCTGAGATCCGAGCAACAATCAAGTAACGTTAGACTCGACAAAATAAACAATTAAAGCAAAAACTAGAAAGTAGTTAATATTCAAGTCCCCGGCGACGGCGCCAAAAACTTGTTGCTCCCAAACGCACACGCAAGTATACGTGGTCGACAAGTAATATAATGATAAGTTGAGTGTCGAACCCACAGAGACTTGTATAAACTACTCACTAAAATCACTAAAATTGTTATTCAATCCAGCTAAAATCAAAGTCCAATAATATGATTATATTATACTACGATTCCAAATAATAATTATATTATCAAGTAATGAGTTGATTGTTGTGCATTCAGTAGAGACAAGTATTCCAGGGTTGTGATCGATTCACCATTCGTATTGTGTTCTACACTCATGGTTGCTAATTAATCGATTATTTCTCTCATAGCCTTCTCCCGAAGTACTACTCGCCTATTCAAAATAGATTAACGCCTATATTCCTATGAAATCAATCTATTAAGAACGCATTAAGATTACAATATTTAATTAAGCACGGTGACTAGGTATATTCCTATCCTAACCACAAATCCGCTCCCCCTAAGGGTTAAGATCATGCTCTCTTCAATTCTTCTCTAATCTAAACACGGCTTTCCTAAGCATAGCATAGATAGTAAATAGAACCTAACTGCTGGCCAGACAATTAAGCAATTAATCACAAAATTGAAGAAACAACCATATATTAGTGGATTATAATCGAGGTTAAGTCAACATTTAAACAATAATATTCATGGCTAAATCACAACCCCAGACAATAGGTTTTTAGCCACTCATGATGTAATCAAACAATTGCATAAGTTTTGAATAATTGAATATACTAGAAAAGATGAAGAAAACTGAGAATTCTCCGCTTCCTCACGATCCCGTATGTGTTTTTCCTCCAAAGTGGCGTCTCCCCCTCTAAAATAGGCTTAGTCTTTCTTTTATACGTGTTGGGTAGGTCTAGGGCCGAATAAACCTTGTCCCGAGCAAAATAGGACAAAATCGCGTCACCGGCGCCCTGGGTAGCGCTAGGCGCCCACCAGGGCGCTGCCTCAAAATGCTATTCTGTCTCCAGCGCCATAGGTGGCGCCAGGCACTGCCTGTGGCGCCCAAATACTCAATTTCCCGGTTTTGTTCGTTTGGCTCAAATCTTGCGCGTTTCGACCCCAATTGCTCCCGAATCATTCCTACACATAAAAACACTTCAAATTAATATAAATCATAGCATTTAATATCCCAAATTTATGAAACAAAAGTAAAATATGAGGCGATATACATAGAAATATATATGCTTTAAGCTAAACATCAGTTCCGGATGACTAGATAAATGAGATCACTGATTTTTATTATGTAATATTGCTACTAATCATATAATATAAGTTCACAATTATTCGATCATAATTCATAACAACAAAAACAATTAATGAGAAAACATGGTTAATATTTTCAGTAAAAAAAAAAATCTTCTAGTCTCAAGTCACAATTAACTATTAATAATATTATCATTACCAAAAAGACGTCTAGTCGCAAGTCACAACTGTACTAGCTTTTATATTAGTTTTTCCTATATTTTCTATATAACTATATAGAGTTCATGTTGGGGTTAGTGGGTGCTCGAGCACCTAGTACATCGGTTGAACTAAATCCGCCCCTCATGTTCAAATTTAAACCCCCGTATATATATATATATATATATATATATATATATAATTTTTTTGTTTTACGCTATTAGATCCCTTAAAAGTCAATTGCATGTAACGTTTATAGCAAGCATGAATTTGTAACCTATAAGATAGTAAATGACATGTCAAAATAGGTAAAATTACATTAATATTATAAAACAATTTGTATTGTCAAAGTGTATAATATTAAATTCAAACTAGATAATGAAAACCTATCTTACCAGCAGAATATTTTATAGGAAAATCTTGCAGATATCGCATGAAAAAGATCTTCTCATGTGGTTTTTACTGCTTGCTCCATTTGTTTAAAATATTTTAATACTACATAATTAAATAAATACATAAATCTTCTATTCTTGTTGTACACTACTTCTACTACTGACTCACAGGATCTTGGTTGAACTCCATTAATTGACATTCAATTCCAACCAATGAAATAAGCAAATGTACCTTACAATATTCAAATTTCAAAAATTGAAATTAGGTATGTTTAATAAATGTACTTTCATCTTGGTCAAATTTGTACAGTAAATTCCTTTCCTCTACTCTTACCTCTCTGTTACCAAGGGAATATTTCTTCCACTTTCTCAGTTGTTTTTTCTGTTTTCATTAGTACAATATTTTGATTTGCTAATAAAATAATTAACCCCCCACCCCACCCTTCCGCTGTTATTTTTGAGTAGAATTATTTTTTTTTTAGTCCGTTTCAGAAAAAATATCATACTTTATATTTAAAAATAATTTAATTTTAAACTTCTTATTTTATCTTTATTTGATAAGATTTTTAGAGCACAAAAATGTCTATGGTATGTGTACCACCACATTCTTCCGTCCTTTCTTAAACTCCTAGTCATAGCTTGTTCGGCCAAACTTTTAAAATTTGCTTATTTTGAGAAGTGTTTTTTTTAAAAGTATTAATTCAAAAAGTACTTTTGGTGAGAACCGATTTGTGTTTGGCTAATTAATTTGAAAAGCACTTCTGAGTAGTAATTATTATTTGACCAAACTTTTGAAAACTGCTTCTAAGTGTATTTTTCTCAAAAGTGCTTCTCAGAAAAGTGTTTTTGGAGAGAAGCTACATTTTTCTGCTTCTCAAAAACAGCTTATGCTTCTCCGCAGGAATACTTTTTTTCCTTCTAAAAGCTTAGCCAAACATCTCAATTTTTGGCCAAAAGCACTTTTGCCAAAAAAAAAAAAAAAAAAAATTTAGCCAAACAGAATCAATCAAATAAAGCCTCATAATAAACATATCTTTTATATGATAGGATTGCGTAAAAAATTAAAATCCTATTTTGGGTAAAGCTCTTCCTACTAAAGACAACTCTATTTAGGGAATCGAATCTAAAATTAAGATAGAATGAGTATTTATCACTCTACCACAATGTTTGCTAACAATAACAGAGACGGAAATTTTATGAAGGAGGTGTCAATATATAAAAAGATTAAACATATGAAGAAAATATGTGGAGTCTAACATATACTCCATCCGTTTCAAATTAGATGTGGTAACTTCCTTTATAGTTTGTTCCAAAATAAATAGCACATCCTAAATTTAGAAATAATTCAACTTTAAACTATTCATTTACTCATTTTACCGTTAATGAGAAGCTTTTATATCCAAACAAATGTCATGGTCCCACAAAGCTTTTATCCCTTAAGCTTTTAAGACCACACATTTCAAAAGTCATCTTTTTTTTTCTTCTTAAATTCTATACCGAGTTAAACTAGCTTATCTAAATTGAAACGGAGAGATAGTATATACATAAAAATAAAATTTTAAACTAGCTAAAAATTTTGTGACGAACGGGTATAACATGCTGGTCACAAGAGGAGTCTCACTTTTCAAATAAAGACTAACTATTTTCTAATAAAATAATAATTTTTTTAAAATCAATAAAATAATGATTACTTTTTCATAAAAAGGACAACTCCTATTTTCCTAAAGTATAACACTACTATCAAATGATCATTTTTGCACCTCCTCTGTACCGGTGAAGATTACCTCTTTTCTGCAAAACCCAAAAGAAAGTGTACCCAAAATACCACCTTTTAAGTAACTTAATTATACCAAGAAAAAATCACAAAATAAATCCTTCAACATTTCCTCATTTCCCTTTACCAAAAAACCCCAGCTAGAATCTTTATCCCAAAACCTCAAAAAACCCCCCAAAAAAAAAATAAAAATAAAAAATCAACCATGGTATAACCTATCAAGAATCCATAAATGGGTTTTCCCACAAAGTCATTTTACAGTATATTCTCACTTTTCTTGATTATATTCACCATTTTCAAGCAACTCCCACTAGCTAAATCAGCACCAGATTACACCAAGTTAGTATACAAAGGTTGTGCAAAACAAGATTTATCAGATCCAACTGGGGTTTACTCACAAGCACTTTCATCACTTTTTGGTACACTTGTTGCACAATCCTCAAAATCTAAGTTTTATAAGGCTAGTACTGGTAATGGCCAGTCAACAATTTCTGGTATTTTTCAGTGTAGAGGTGACCTTTCTAATGTTGATTGTTATAAATGTGTGAGTGGTTTGCCTATACTTATAGATAAGCTTTGTGGTAATAAGCCTGTTGCTGCAAGAATTCAGCTTTTTGGTTGTTATATGCTCTATGAAGTTGCTGGGTTCCCTCAAATCTCTGGAATGGAAATGCTGTACAAGACTTGTAGTGGCAAAAATTCTCCAGGTAACGTAGAGCGGATTCAGGATTTAAATTTTATGGGTTTTACATTTAAGTTTTTACCACTTAACCCGTTATACTTTTCAAATTATAAGTTCAAAATTTGATATGTTTTGATAATTTAGTGATTTATATACTACATTTGTTTTAATTTTTATGAGGTAGTTTGACTCATCATAAGGTTTATGAGAAAAAAGAATGACTTTTGAAATTTGGGGTACTAAAAGATTAAGGCGTAAAAGCTTTTGGGGCTATGATATTTATGTGTTAAGGGTAAAATAGGTAAAATAGTAAGTTTACAGTTAAATTGTTTCCAAATATAGAAATGTGTTATTCTTTTAGGAGCAGACTAATAAGTAAACTGTGTCATATAAGTCAAACGGATGAATTATTTATATTTCGTGTCTAAAATACTGTGTTTGCCGAACCCGTTACTTACTACTAAAAAATTGAAATTAGCTGCGAACTTCATTGCTAATATGTCACTTAATCGCTCTTTACTAACAAAGTTTTTTAGTAATTTATCGCTAGTCTGCTGCTAAGTTGGATTAGCAACGGATTTTGTCCGTCGCTAATTCCTGCTTTTTTTAGTAGTATTTATATCCTGCATCCGCCACTGTCAGGTTTCAGAATCAGAATGTCCGGTAGCAGAATCAGAATTTAAGTCCTATGGGTTCAGTCTTTACGCTCGAACCAATCACATTTTGTCAATTATGGGTTCAACATTTAATATGTAGTTTTTTTTTTCTTGAAATGTTAGTGATTTTTTCATATATACTCCGTGTCAAAAATACTGGCAGGTAGTGGATTTGAGGAAAGAAGAGATACTGCTTTTTCCTCATTGGAAAATGGCATGGCTAGTAGTAATGGCTTTTACACAACAAGCTATCAATCTGTGTATGTATTGGGACAATGTGAAGGGGATGTTGGTTCTGCTGATTGTGCTGATTGTGTGAAAATTGCTGTCCAAAAAGCTCAGGTGGAATGTGGAAGCTCTGTTTCTGGCCAAATCTTTCTGCACAAATGTTTTATTAGTTATAATAATTATCAAAATGGGGTCCCAAAAACATCATCATCTTCTTCAGATTGGTCTCCTTCATCTTCAGGTATTAGTTATGTTGATATAAAATCTTTTGAGTAGTTTCACTGTTTCTTGAGCCGAGGGTCTATCGGAAACAATCTCTCTATCTTCAAAAGGTATAAGTAAGGTCTGCATACATATTACCCTCCCTAGACCCCACATGTGCGATTACACTAGTTTTTTCGTCGTCGTTGTTGTTGTCGTCTTCTAGCTACAATATTCATTGTTTTTGCTGAACTAGCCATTCTACTAAACTGGCAATTGTTTCTGGTTTTGCAAGTCTAGAACAAAATCAAGCTAATAAGCTTTTATATTCTTGGACTTTTGAGCTATTCGCCTCGTAAATCTCTCTATATTGTATATTCCGTATATTTTTTGGTTGTTACAGCGAAATGATGTTATAGATGATGACTGCCATAAAGAAGTTTGACGGTAGATGATAAAAGGTCTGAATCACTAGTGCTATTGAGTCGATATTGGTTATATCACTCTAAGATGTTTGTCCTATGCTTTCTTGGAGTGGTTTAGACATTTATACGTTCAGAAAATATAGAGAATTTTTAATACTTTTTATTTGTATTTGCATAATATGAACATGAAATGAGTATAACCGGACTAACAGGGTCAGTGAAAAGTGAAGATTCCTATAGCCGACCCTAACTTGTTTGGGACTGAGCCGTAATGTTGTTGTCATAATCAACATTTTGTCTACCTTAGATTTGCCAGCCATTGCTTCAGATTTGTTGTCCACAAATCATATACTAAAGAATCTGAATTTTAACAATTATTGTAGGGTCAGGGCAAAATGTAGGAAAAACAGTGGCTATAATAGTCGGAGGGGTAGCAGCAGCGGGGTTTCTCGTCATTTGCTTGCTGTTCGCGAGGAATCTAATGAAGAAGCACGACGGTAAGCCTAACATAATGTACTAAATACATTTCTATGGTTTGAAACTTGTCTCTTACTTATGCTGTTGAAATATGAATTGTTTTGCTGCAGATTATTGAAGGGGTCAGATTAGTTTTACTTAAGACTGGTGAAAGCTTTTCTGAGGTGGATTCTTTCTTTGATTGTCTTCTTGAAGGGAAATGAATTTTCTTTTCTGAATCATTGAGAAGTAGAAATTAAGGGGATTTTGTGGCTGTAATTCTTGGTATTCTTAGTTAAACAAGGAATTGAGATGACCGTTGATAAATTTTGGAAGGGGAGCCTTGGCGTAACTGGTAAATTGCCTCCATGTGACCAGGAGGTCACATGTTCGAGCCATAGAAACAACTTCATGTAGAAATACAAGGTAAGTATACGTACAACATACCCTTGTGGTCCGGCCCTTTTCTGGACCCGCACCTGGCTGCCCCTTCTAGATGTAAATTTTTACATGTTTGTCAACTATGAACAAGATTACAAAAGAGGCCTAATGGCTTTTGGCTTTTCTCTCCATTTGCTATGTGAATGTTGTCTCTTTTCCAATTGACTTGAATAATGCTTCTGCATTTTGTTCTAAAGTTTTATACTTTACAGAAAGTTTCTTTGTTTCTCTTGTTTTCCAGCTGTATATGTGTGTTTGAATTTCTTGTCTTTTATTTTATTAATCTATATATTTTTTAAGATAATCCTGTAAAAGTTGCTGCCATGTGACGAGGAGGTCATAAGTTCGACCCGTGGGAACAGCCTCTTGCATAAATGCAGGGTAAGGCTACGTACGATAGACCCTTGTAGTCCAATCTTTCCCCGAACTCCGCACATAGTGGGAGCTTAGTGCACCTGGCTACCCTAATCCGGTCAAACCCCAAAAATAACAACAGAGCTAGCATATTCAGCAGTTCAACTTACTAAATGTTCTGTTACTAGTCTCTACTGTTAGCCCCACTTACTTTTGTTTGCAAAATGTTATGTGATGGACCAATTACCATCTCTTTGCAAAAAGAGAAAATTACACTGTATAGCCACTCTTAATATAATGGCCGAAAAATATATATTTTTTGTTCATATACATTTTATATGTTATATACATAAATTATATAAATTTTATACAGTTTTTTCAGCTATCGAAGGTAAATAATTGATGGCGCTCCCTTAAAGTGAAAAAAGCCATGGCAAAAAAGGGTGTTCTTCTCTGATTTTCAACAGTAAAATAGTTAGAGCCAATTATGCCTCATTTAGGTGGCAAGGTCAAGAATTTTAAGGTTTTTGGTCAAGCTTGTAGGCTCAATGTTCCTACTACTAGTTCATGACAATTTGTAGAAGTGCAATATGTCACATGTAAAAGTAAATAAAGCGGTTTGATTAGTCAAATATAACTGAATTATGTCACAGGTATTCTTGAAATCTTTATCTAATCTATCTCATAAGTATTTGTAAAATCATTTTCTTCTTATGCTATTTTTTAGGCAAAATCTATAAGTTCCCCCTAAACTTGTCTAAAACTCGGTTGTACATTGTAACTTTGCCCTCTATTCTTGTTTGAAGTGAAATAAATATCATCCTAAATGATGACGTGAAGAAAAAGAAAAAGAAATAAAGATGCATAAATTAAAAAAAAAAAAAAAAGAAAGAATGTGGGCCCGCTGATATGTGTATTATCCTCATCTTTTTTCTTGTTCTTTTTTTTTTTCCTATTTTTTTCCGTTCTTCTTCTAGATAAATTGAATTATTGACGAGAGCAAAAACAACATTTTTTTATATCGAAATTCTTAAGACTTGTGAGCAAATGACCTCTATTTTCCTTTAGCAAATACAATAATCATTTCTTTTCATTCTTTATTGGTGTCAAAGTATGAGAGCAATACCTACAAAGCAATTGTCCAATGTCCTTTGCACATCTAATAGTAATTGGGCAAAACCATCAAACTTCGTCCCTATTAGAACTGAAATTAAAACGAAAAAAGTCACATTACCATATCCTTTAATATTTCTTGGAGAATTGAACAAAATACAGGAAATAGAAATAAAGAAAATGAAAACGGAAGTTTTTGATCTTCTTCCCCGATTCCATTTCCGTACTTGCTGATTTTAGGGATTAATTAGTATATAAAAATATAAGTATGAAAAAAGAAAAGAATAAATGTCACGACCCGAATTTTCCGCACTCGGGAGTCGTGATGACGCCTACTAGTGAAATCTAGGCAAGCCAACTGTTTGAACAAATTACCTTCTTCCCATTTTTAATTCTTTAACAATTTTTAATCAACAGTTAATAAACAGCGAAATTTAAAACGAGCAGAAGAAACAAATAAAACCGTTTAAATATTTCCAATACAATTTCTTAAACAAATACTACCCAGAACTGGTGTCACAACTTCACAGACGGTCTAGGAATACTACAAACAAGGTTTGAAAAATAAATATTACACTGTTTCTGAAATACGTAAATGAAACAGGATGAAAGGATAGAGGGAGACGCCAGGGCCTACGGACGCCTACAGTACTACCTTGGGTCTCTGTACGGACTGAAGGCAGCCACCCAAAGCTAAGGTCCAAAAGCTGCTGCGCCTGGATCTGCACACAGTGCAAAGTGTAGTATCAGCACAACCGACCCCATGTGCTGGTAAGTGCCTAGCTTAACCTCGGCAAAGTAGTGACGAGGCTAGGACCAGACTACCAAATAACCAGTGCAGTTAAATCATATATAGCGGAAAATAGAAACAAGAATGTACAGTGAAGGATGGGAGGTGGAAACATGCTGCGGGGAAACATCAGTTAAAAATAGAAAGACAACAAGTAAATACGAGGAACACCATATCTCAATTTTCAACAAGAATCAGAAATTAAACAAGTGCACGGCATCACCCTTCGTGCTTTTACTCTCGTCCTCACCATAAGAATCAATATAAACTGCACGACATCACCCTTCGTGCTTTAACACTCTTCCTCACCCAAACAACAATCACAAGCAATAAGGGCAAGGAAATAAATAAAAGCATAATAAAATCCCGGCAAGGGAACAATAGTTCAACAATCAAATTCCGGCAAGGGAACAATATCAAAAGCATCAACATCCCGGCAAGGGAGATAGCATTAAAAGCAATAACATCCCGGCAAGGGAGGCAATATAATAATTCTCTTCTCTTTTTCACTTTTACTTCACAATTCACTTCACAACTTGAGCCAATGCTCCATAAGGTTCAATTGCCAATTATACTTCCACAATTCATTATACAGCTTGAACCAACGCTCTTCAATACTCAAATACCACTATTACTTCCACAAACTTTACTCGACAATAGAAATCATCACAAAAGGCATGAACAATACAAACAGAGTCATAATAATCATAATATAAGACTCACGGCCATGCTTGACACCAACGTATAGATACTCGTCACCATGCCTATACGTCGTACTCAACAAATAACACATAGCAAATAGGACTCAACTCCTAATCCCTCAAGCTAAGGTTAGACCAAACACTTACCTCGATGCCACGAACACAATTCAAGTCTAAACTATCACTTTACCTCTTGATTCCGCCACCAATTCGCTCGTATCTAGCCATAAATTACTTAACTATATCAATAAATGCTAAATGAATCAATTCCAATGCATGAAAATAGGTTTTCTAAAGTTTTTCCCAAAAAGTAAAAAATCGCCCCCGGGCCCACATGGTCAAAACCCGAGGTTCGAACCAAAATCTCATTACCCATTCCCCACGAACCCAAATATATAATTTGTTTTGCAATCGGACCTCAAATCGAGGTCCAAATCCCCAAAATTAAAAAAACCTAGGTTCTACCCAAAACACACAATTTTCCTCATGAAAATCTTTGATTTTGAGTTGAAATCATGGGAAAAGATGTTAAAGATTGATGAAAACAAGTTAGAAATGACTTACAATCGATTTGGAAGAGTACTTGTCTTTGAGAAATCGCCCAAGAGTGTTTTGGTTTTGAAAGGGTTTGGAAAATGGTTGAAAATGTGTCTAAGTTATGATTCGTAGGTTGCAGATGTCACAATTGCGACAAGGGTTTCGCAATTGCGAACCCTTCAGAAGACTGAAACCTTCGCATTTGCGACCACCCCATATTTCTGAGGGGTTCGCATTTGCGAGGGAGGCGTCGCATTTGCGATCCAAATGGTCGCATTTGCGATCAGGCCTGCCCAGGCCTTCGTTCGCATTTGTGATGATTTACTCACATTTGCGAGCTAGGCTTCGCATTTGCGAGCTCGCATTTGCGAGCCAGGCTTCGCAAATGCGAAGCCTGCAGACCTGCAACATAGCAAAATTCCTAAGTCCAAATTTCACTCCGTAGCCTATCTATCGGAGCCCTCGGGGCTCCAAACCAACCATGCATACTAACCTAAAAACATCACAAGACTTGCTCGTGCAATCAAATCACCAAAGTAACATCAACAACTATGAATTTAATATCCAAATTATGAAATCACTTAAGAACATCAAATTTCCAATTTTCTCAAATAAGGTCCAATTCACGTCATTTCAAGTTCGTTTCTTACCAACTTTTACAGGCTCAACTTAAATCACATATAAGACCTGTACCGGGCTGCGAAACCAAAATACGGGCCCCATACCATCAAATTTCAAACACATTTCATTTCCAAAAACTCATATATTTTCTAGAGAATAATTTTCTTTAAAAATTCAATTCTCGCCCTTGGGACCTCGAAATTCGATTTCGGGCATACGCCCAAGTCCCATATTTTCCTACGGACCCTCTCGGACCGTCAAATTACGGGTTCGGATCCGTTTACCTAAAATGTTGACCAAAGTCAACCTAAATTCATTTTAAAAGCACAAATTATTATTTTTCACAGATTTCACATAATGGCTTTCCGGATACGTGTCCGGACTGCGCGCGCAAATTGAGATGAGACACAAAGGAGGTTTTTAGGCCTCGAAACACTAAATTTATTTCTAAAACAAGTGATACAATAAGAAAATAAAAATTTCGATAATTTTTGAGATGGCGACAACGTGGCGTGTGTGTAATGTACCTCATGTGTGAGATTGATACTTCGAGTGGTTTGTAATGTACAATCGAATATTCCGAACAAGTTTAGTGAAACTTATGTATTTTGCCTATTTTAAAGTAATTTTTTCCAGAAATCAACCTGTCATCGTAAGTGCTTTCTAGCAAACATGATACAGTACTCACAATTCATAGTACTTCATCTTTGTTATATTGCTCAATCAAAGTAAACAAATAGTTCTACTTCGTTTTATATCTAGTTGTCCTCCTCTTTTTACTCCAATAGAATATACTTTTGGACAATGTAGCGGGAGCTAGGATTTGAAGTTTATGAAAGTTCACTATTTTTTATCAAAATTTTCCTGTGAAGCTTTTATATTTATGTTCGCAAGTAACTTATTTATATGTATTTACAATCCCCGTGTAACTTACTTGCAGATAAAATATCCCCACTTTTTTTTTGGTTAAAAGGTATATTGTATTTATACTAGTTAAACAAAATGAACTACATTA